GCATGCAGTGAAAAGCAGCCTAACATGTTCGCTTCTGCAAGTTCCGATCGTAATGTTTGTATCTGGGATGCTAGACAGAGCAAGCCAACTCATCGAATTACGAATAAAGGTGAATATCTAAATGAATACAATTAACGAAGAAACTATCTGTTCCAGTTGGAAACTTCTTCGTATCTTGGTCACCCTGCGATGAATACTTGATTTTTCTGGATAAGGATAATCGTGTCAATACAGTAGATGTCAGGAACTATAAAGTAGTTAATGTAAGATTTTATAGGCCGGTTTCGTCAAAAACCGCTATAGTTTACAGACACACGACATGAAGGTATTCTCTCATGAAGTGATCTTCCACCCCCTCTCTAACCATGTTTTTGTGGCCGAATCAGGAGGAAGAGTCGAAGTTCTGAAATTCGTCGGCGGCGCTCTAGAACCAGCTACCGTAATCCAGCACATTCACATCAAGTTGACTGCTTGGCTCTTTCGATTTCCAAAGACGGACAAAAACTTGCTGTTGGAGCATCCGATGCATCGTGTTCAGTATGGGACCTTGATGAACTGATTTGTGAGAAAGTCATTCCAAGGTGAGTCGATAATAAAAACTGTGATTGCAAGCATAACTTTCAGACACGACTACGGGATCAGGACAGTTTCGTTTTCATGTAATGGTCAACTACTAGCATCTGGCTCTGAAGATCACTCCATTGATATTGCCTACGTACCAGACGGATCCAGATGCTACGAAATCAAGCATACGGGTGAAACTTATTCAGTTGCATGGCATCCGAACTCTCTCCTTTTGGCCTATACAGCATCAGATGGGATGGACAACAGAGAGTCGGCATTTGTCAAAACTTTCGGGCACAGTACTGTTTGATATCTCACGACATTTTTAAATTAATTCTATTTTAAAATATTTGAATACAAAAAATCTTCATCTAAATTTTAAAAGCTTTATTCCAATTCAAAGAGAACAAAAATTAAAAAAAAAAAACAAATTTTATTGCATGGAATCAATGAAAAATGGTCAGCAGTAACAGTAAAAGACGAAGAGGTTACAAGAAAGTGGATTTAAAAAACATGCTCAAAATTAACGGGTGAAAGTCCGAACTGTTCTGAAAATTGTCCCATTTGGGTGCCGTCCGTCTGTTGAAAGTCGACGAATTCCACCGGCTCGGGTTCTTTGACGTGCTTTCTTCTTCGGTTTTTATAAGTCTCAAGATAAAAGAGATGAATAAATATATTTATGTTAAAGAACTAACCGAGTCGTGGACAAACTATGATAGACGTCTCGCCATCAACTGTACGAAGGGAAGTGGGTTTTAGATCATGCCTATAACGAAATGTTTGATTTCAAAGACAAAGGCGCCTTTTGAGAAATAAGACAGAACTATTCGAAAAAAGTTGATACGTTTTCGTTTTGGTATGGACAAAAATTCAACTTGATAGATGCTTTCAGAACGTTAAAAAACTAACATTAGTCGCTAGATTTTCTCGATTACGACCATAATGAAATTTTGGACGTCTCGTTGGAATCGAGGAAAATTGGACATCCTCTCCTCTCTAGTGTTTCCTAACTCCGCTGACAAACTGAAAAGGTTACTTATGATTAGTACATAAGCTGGTAACGCAGCGTTTTCTCTTTCAAGGTCATCGTAACTGAAGTGGGCGTACTGAGACTTCGGCGGATAACCAAACGCACTCAGGCAAAATTCTAGGACAAATGTTAGGCAATGACTCTTTGACTACACCACTCTTTGACTACACCTACTCTTTGACTCCACATTCTCTTTGACTACAAAGCCTCTTTGACTACATTTATCTCTTTGACTACACAAAAAGAACTATAAAACGAAAAAGTGTAGTCAAAGAGACTTTGTTGTCAAAGAGACAAATGTAGTCAAAGAGACATTGTAGTCAAAGAGAATCTGGAGTCAAAGAGCAGGTGTAGTCAAAGAGTGGTGTAGTCAAAGAGTAATTGCCCAAATGGTTATTGGCAATAGAATCTTTGAACTAACCTTTAATAAAACATAGAACATCTCTTGGTAAGTCTTGTAGGTCGTCATTTTTCTTGTTTCTTCCATGATGGGAACGTATGGCGAATTTTTGATGAACCTTTTCACCGTCAAAGATCTGCAAACTGATGGAAATTAGGTCATTAATCATAAAAATCGGTAAACCTGTGAAAGCACATGTTTAATCAGCAAAGAAATCGCACGTCGCGGATCAGCAGGAATAGATCCTATTTCTTGTGTTGACACAACTTCTTGGATCTGAAATAGATGAAATGCATTTGAAGTTCGGATTCTGAGCAACAAGAAGACTTCTCACTTTGAATGGATATGTTCCTGTGAAAACTCTGGTGACGTGAACGAAGTTAGGTGAAGCGGATAACGAGGCAGGAGCTTTAGGAGTTTTTACAGCTGTGGAACGCGTTGCGGAACGGTTCTGGCGAAGCTGGAGAATTTTCATCTGAACAGTAAATTATGAAAAGTGTTACTGTTCTGACGACTTACATAAAATATCTGACCGTAATGAAACACTTGTGACGAGAGATTCCCAAGACATGTTCCATCGGAGAGAGTATGCAGTTCAAAAGCAGACAACGATTTAGCCGATTCCTGGAAATTGTTATTGTGCCTCACTGAAGGCTGCATTTTCAATACGTTGTAAATTTTTTCGTCAAATCTACCACTCTGTTTGTACTTCAGAATCACTAATCCACATTTTCCTATGTCGATCACACTTTCATTGATACAATTCAGCAAATTGTCTGGAAAAAAAATTATAGGTGAAATGAAAACAAGGTGGAAACATTACTGAGCATTGGCGCAGTTTCGTCAATCCTAAATAGTGATGTAATCAATTTCATTGCGATGAAGTGCAACTTGATTTGAAAAAACATCGGTACATCCGATTTGAACATTATAGAAACCTGTCAAGACACGATAGCCCCTGCATAAAACTATAAAACTCGCGACTCTGGTTGATGTAGACGTAGTCGGAGAACGGGCCCATCGGTGTGGTTGTTGTGGGTGGACGGAACGCTGTTGACGAATTGGAGCTGCTGCAAAGTGATCGAGCCACTTGTTGGTTTATTTACATGAAAAGCAGAGGCTCGGTCCACTCATTATTAACCTCTCTGACTAAAAATTGAAGATCTACCTTTTTCTTTTTCATCTTCGTAATCAGTGTACTCAACGTGATCAGCTCTCCTCATGGTTTGCCTTCCCATTCGCATTTTTTCATCTTCAACTCGCTTTGCAACATTGACTCCTTTCTTCGCTGGAGAATTACTCGTCCATGTAGGGAAATTAATCGTGTTTACTAGTCCGTCTGTAACATACGATATATATTTCTGTATAACAGAATTCTGTTAACATGATTCGTACTTTCTTTTCGGCATTATCAGATATTTTGTATTTTATTCAATAAGAATAAAGCTGATTTGATATATGTTCTTTGAATATTTACTTCTCCAACGAAAAACCGAATTTGAGTGAAAAACAACTCGCAGCAAACCGTGGCGAAAAACAGCGCTTATCGTTTGGAGACACTGCGGACATAAAATGTGTCCGCCGTTTCTCTAAACTTCTCAGTTCCTCGCCGTTTCTCCGTTTTAGTTTGCTGAGCGACACTCTGCTATCCCGGTCGCGCGGTGTTTAGCACACTTCCGTTCGGACAAATGGCGTTTATCCGCCGTTTCTCCACCACGGTATGTTGAGTATACCGTAAACACTCTAAATGGCAGCAATGGCACAACTGATACAAAGCCAAGGGGCTCAGTGATTTAGAGATTAAGGGGCACACAGTTCTGGATCAATTGATTTCAAAAGGTCTCATAACTTTGTCCAGGCTGAAACAAATTTTTTCAGACAATTGTTTTCTAGTGAAACAAGTTATGAGCTAAAGAATACATAATTACAAAAAAGATTATTGAACAAAAAATCGTTTAATAACAGTTCCTCTGAATTTTTGAAGTGCCAACACCAAGTACAAACATCTTGCAAGATATCTTGGTCAAGAATCAAAAATGGAATATTCGTCTCTGGAATATGTATTTGACAAGACTATCCAAGCTCAAAATAATAACTACAGTACTCACATCTTCTTATACCATGTATCGGAATTGTCGTTGAAATCAATTAGTCCGCAAGAAGCAATTCCGCGTTTTCCATTGATTACAACTACACGGCAACTACCCATAGAGTCTTGGAATATCGAGTGTACTCCATTCTTATAACAAGTTAATCAGGGTAATTTGGATAGTAGACGACGAGCATCTAAGTCGTCTTTTTTGCGATTTGATTCATATCTCATTGCTCACCCCGTAGTCAAAATTTCTTTGAAAATCCATCCAGGTTCATTGGAACTGCATGATATTTCAGATGGATCTCCACATTCAGTTAGATTGCATCCAAAGCTATATCGACGATGAAACCGAAAGCACGATTGATCTGAAACCAAAGACAATATTATTCTGAAGATATGCTGAAGATTTTCACTCCAGTGGAACCCGAATTTGGCAGTAATCAATCCACATGGCGCGTTTTGTTTGTCTGAAATCGAGAAAAACACTTTTTGAAAAAAAGGGAAACTAACTACTTTTGAAGAAAGTCAAGTTGAAGAAGTTTTCTTGATAAATTCGTTTTCCATCGTATTTGTCTCGATTTATATAGGCAGTGTTGAAAACAAAACAAATGAATATCAGAATGAAAACTGGAATATATGAACGATTCTGTAAAAAAAACATAATTTTTATGAGAGCCAGAACTTTCGGTCTAACCCATAATATCTTCCACCATTTCTTATTGCATGAACTCGATTGTTTAGAATGTTTCTCTTCGTCTTTCTTTCCATTTTTATTATTCTGTTACAAAAATTAGAGATGTGGAAGAGAAGTGGCCGCGGCCGAAAGTCCCATAACGACAGCTACCGTAACCTGAAAATACTTATTTTCCGGATTTATTTTCTCGTTTTTGACTAGTTCTTCGTCGGGAGGAAGATCAGTCGAGTTTTTTGTTTGTTTTCTTCAAAAGAAGTCGAAAAAAAAATAATATTTTCATTGTGAAAAACTTACCGAAAACGAGCGACAATCGAGAAAACAAATCCAGAAAATAAATATATTTTTGGGTTACGGTAGCTGTCGTTTTTGGACCTTCAGCCACGGCCACCTGCGTTTCTCTTCCACTTACTTTTACATCATCTTTCTCTTTAGATTTCTTTACTTTTTCAATTTTTCAACCTCATTGGACGAGGTCAAGACTTGATTTCTGTTCACTTCTGCCATCCTAAAAATCTTGAAGACATTTTTTTTCTCATTGAAGAGTCAGATATGTGGAATCAGGTGGATTGAAAGCCAATACGTGGACAGCAATCGACACTAGAAGCCAGGCATTGCTGGGACCCTCCCAATTACCTCCCAAAATTAAAAACATGGTCAAATCTTCTAAGAAAGTGAAAAATGAGGCGGTGAGACAATCTAAAATGTGATGAAAAACCCTTCTTGTTTTAACAGACACAAAATCCTGATACAAAAATTAACTTTGATTCCTCAATGTTTGTTGCAATGCTAGAATCTTCTTGTCGTATTCAGTTATCAACTGCTCTTCATTTCTTCCGGAAAACGTTTGCAAGCGGGCAGGATACTTCGAGTGTTATGATCAAAGAACAGTATTATTCGAGAATTGTAAGCTACAAATATTCTCCGGATTAGAAGAAAATAACAGAGTTTCAGAAAAATGGGGTTTTGAATGCACTCCGTAGTCACATTCTAGATATCGATGGAGAGGTGAACGCAGTGTGGATTATCACAAATATGTGCTGTATTAATCAAGAAGTTACTCATCTCTTCGTTCAATCGGTATACTTTTTAGGGTGACAGTTTTCGCAGAGGTCCCTCTTTTCAGAACGTCATCGACACACTCACACAACTCGTTCGTTCTGCCAACCATCGTCTTTTGAATCAAACCATTTGGGCACTGGCAAACATCGCTGCAGATTGTCCATCCTGTAAAATGATGTGTCGGAAACCGAAACTTCTGAAAGTATAATTTCCCTTCTGATTAATTACATAATGCAGGAATCTCTTTTAGGCTCTTTCAAAACTGTTGCAAACTCCACAATTACTCGATGAAACTGAATATCGTCATCTGATTTGGTGCATCAATAATATTCTTTCTGGTGGAAGAGCAACGATGACCTCTCCTGTTGCCCGCTCTTTGATTCGCGGTTTTTCCAACATACTTTTGGATACAGAGAAAGTTCAGAAAATGAAATGTGGTCCAATGATTTTGTGGACTATGGCTAATTTGGTGGACAGTACACATGATACTACTAGGGTTAGATTGAAACCTGTTTTCAGCAAAATCTGATATTCTTCCAGATTGATATGCTTCTATCACAACCGCTTCTCATCGAACATGTTCTCATGCTTTTCCTGGATGAAAACGAGAAACCATGTCATACTGCGGCTCTCCGTCTACTTGGAAATATTGTTGTGGGGAATGACGCTCAAACCGATCAACTTCTAGAATACCCCCACTTCAGAACTGTCATGGTAAATATTCTAAATCCTCGATTGCTACTATTTTGACTTTTAGAACATTGCTATGTCGTGTGCTGAGTTTAATAGTGAAGCTGCATGGATCGTCTCGAATATTGTTGCTGGTTCTCCGCGTCATGTGGATTTCGGTGAGTTCTGAGATCAAGAGACCATTTTTCAGATCAACATAAATTTTTGATTTTTTTTTCTAGTTTTGGAAAAGCCAGAGCATTTCTACTCGTGGCTGTTAGCTGGAATCAACTCAAAAGAGGAACGAATGAGAAAGGTGTTTCTATCTCTCTAAACTTTTAACTTTGAGCCCAATTATCTCGATTACTGTAGAAGATGTATGAAATTTGTCAACTGACAATGTATTTGTAATATAATGATGAATAATTCATCAGTTGACAAATTTTGATGTCTTTCTTAGCAATCTAGATAACTGAGCTCAAGGTTAAAAGTTTGGGTGGGCTTCTATTAGAGGAGATACGGTAACCTTTCGTAACATTTCCGTTTTTTAGGAATCGTTATGGATTGTTGGTAATCTTCTGGCAACTGCTGACCAATTTCAACGAACACTTCTCGTCACTCTCGGAGTCACGCATCATTTACCCGCACTTCTGGAGTGGAACGATATCCGATTGAGAGAGAAGGCAGCTACAACTGCTGCCGAGTTGCTCAGAGAGAACACATGGCAGTACAAGTTGTATCAGGATCTCAACATCATTGAATGCATCGAAGCTGCAGGACAACGGGTAATTTATTCAGGTTTATATCCTTCTCAAAATATTTCTTTCAGTTCTCAACCCAAAAAGCGGAACTTCAAATGTTGATGAACGATCTGGAGCCACCGAAACGTCCAAAGAACGAAGATCCGGATTGTCGAGTAATCTGTTATAGTTCTTTGCCCTGATTATTTTTAATTCATTTATTTAGCTCGATAAAAATAGAAATTTGAAATAAGAACAGAGCCATTGAGAACACAACAAAAAATTAAAGAAAAAACAATAGAGAATACGGTTCCGCGAGAAAATAAAGTTTTTGAAAAACATTTAAAAAAAGGAAAAAAAAGAAGAAAGTTGGAGAGGGGGAAAGAATCAGTAACCTACTTAACCGTAACGGCATGGCACTGGGGAGAGAGAAAGAGACCTGTGAAGAGGAAGTGCAAAAAGTACAAAACAGATCGAGAAAGAAGAGAGGGGTTTTCTAATCAAATGAAGAGATAGAGTGAAGGGTGAATAGCTAGGTTGGGCAGTCCTAGAAATTCATTTTCAAAACTAACTAACCATTGACAGAAAACATAAAACAACAGCACACTAGAGAGAGAGTTTTTGAGCAACGAGCAAGATTGGTGACACGTGGGAGGCATGGAAAAAGGGAAAAGTTAAAAAGGTTAACAGCTTGAAAGTCCAAAAATAGATAAAGCCAAAAATTAAAACATTGGAAAGAGAAGAGGGAAGAGGTTATGGTGGTGGATGAATTAGTTGTTCAAGATGAGGGAGTTGATGATGCTGACAGTCTTGGCAGATGACTTTCCTTGAACGAAAGTATCGTGATCTCCTTCGACGACATGAACCTGGAAATCAAATGTTCAGAATTTTAATTTTCGATCTTTTATCTTACATCAGAATCATCCGAAACCTGGCTGATTCCATAATCTCTTCCAACGTCCTCCTCACGGGCGGCTCCTTGCTCAGCTCTGATCAGTGTGATGTGTCCTCGGAACTTTCTCTCTGGCTTGTACCTGAAATTTCAGATATGCAGAATGTACTAGAAATTCTTGAAACTTACTTGTCAGCCATGAGGAACTTGGAGTGCATTGCCATGCAAGCGAATGCAACAGTCTCTGGGGACTTGAAGAGTCCAGTTGTCATGACAGTGTCCACGACCTTTTGCACACGAGCCTTGAATCCTGGTTGTTGAAGAAGCTCAACACGGAACTTCTTGTAGTCCACATTGGCGAAACGGAGAGTCATGGCACACATGATCTCAGATTCGAAGAGTGGATTGTTGACAAGGGTGTCTCCAGTAACTCCGAAGGCCATACGGTAGACCTGTAATATAAATTGTTGGAATTTTCTTCTTTACTACTCGAAAAAGAAACTAACGTTACGGTAGGTCTGCATGTAAAGATGGGATCCGTCGAGAAGGACCAACTTCTCAACAGCGTCTTGTCCGTCAGATTGTTGAAGCATGCAAGCCATCTCGAATCCAATGCAGGCTCCGTAGGAGTATCCGACGAGTCTGTATGGTCCGGTTGGCTGAACCTTCTTCATTTCACGGATGTAGTACTTGGCAACATCCTCAATGGAAGTTTGAGGAACGTTCTTGGTGGCTTGGAAGCAGTAAACTGGGAACTCGCACTTGGACATGACCTTTTTCAATGGAGTAGCAATTCCTTCGATCGAGTGGACGAAGAAAGTGATTGGTCCTTCTTCAGCCTTGTTAGCCTTGACGATAACATCTTGTGGGTCCAAGTCATTAACGTCGACTCTCATCTTGAACAGTTGGTTCATTTGCTTCTCGAGCATCTCGACAGTGTTCAACTCAGCATCACGTTCTCCGTCCTTCTTCATCTCCAATTCGTTGACTTGGAGAGCAGTTCCACCAGTTCCTCCTTGCTCAGCGAGTTGTTGAAGCTTGTTGAGGGTAAGAGTACGGATGTCCTTCATGGAAAGAACAATGTCGTAGTCTCTCTCGAGAGCCTGCTTGATCTCCACTCCCATCAAAGAATCGAGTCCCAAATCTCCGAGATTGGCATCAGGATTCAATTGAGAGATGTCGTTGACTCCGAGAATGTGAGCGATGGTTTGCATCAAGTTTCCGCCACCAGCACTCTTCTTGGCTCCCATATCAGCCTTGATGTAGGAAGACACGATTGGATGGTTCCAGGACAAGAAGTTATCAAGGGAAGACAAGCAAGATGGCATTCTTTGTGGAAGAGTTCCTCCGACGACGGTGTTGTTGTCTCCCATGTTCTCCAGAATGACTCCGACGTCTCCAATGGCTCCCCATTGAATGGCGATTCCTGGAAATCCATCAGCACGACGTTGGTCAATCATTCTCTCCATGCAAGAGTTGGACCATCCGTAGTTGGTCTGACCAGCATTTCCACGGCCAGAAGTGATGGAAGAGAAAACGACAAACCTGAAAATAAATTTATGAAATAACACTTTTTTTAATTGGCTCAAAAATTAAACTTACCACTTGAGATGCTCCTTGACAGTGTCTTCACGAGTGGCATAATCCAAGTTGATGGTTCCGTAGTACTTGGCTTCGGCAGCATCCTTGAAGTTTTGAATGTTCTGGTTCTCGAACAAACAATCACGGAGAACCATAGCCAAATGGAAGACTCCTCCCACTGGTCCCATTGCGGTACATTGCTTGACAAGCTCAACAGCATCCGACTTCTTGGCAATGTTCAAAGTCGATACAAGAATGGAAACTCCAGTTCGTCTCCAGAAGTGAACACATCTCGCTTGGTATCCAGTACGGATTCCTGTTCTTGAAGTGAGCACAAGCTTGCGAGCTCCACGGTTGATAAGCCATTGAGCCAACTCGAGTCCGAATCCTCCGAGTCCTCCGGTGATCAGGTAGGTGTGTTGTGGATGGCAGAGTGTACGGCAGATGGCACGAACGGAGATTCTTGATGGTGGGCAGACCTTTGTAGTCTCTTCTTGTCGAATCTCCATGATGACCTTTCCGATGTGCTTTCCGGCAGACATGAAACGGAAAGCCTCCTCAGCCTTGTCAGCTGGGAAGGAATGAGAATGGAGTGGCTTGACAACTCCGCTCTTGATTCCTTGCTCCAAAAGTCTAGCGATCTCCTTCCATTCTTCCAAATCTCCAACAGTTGGGTCCATGATCGAATCGAGAAGGATTCCGTGGACAGAGACGTTGTCAAGGAGCTTAGCCATTCCGAGGGACGAGTTCTGGGACAAGTCGACCTTTCCGATTTCAAGGAAGCGTCCGTGGCGTGCCAAACATCTGAGAGAAGCTTGGAGCATTTCGTTGGCAAGAGAGTTGAGAACGATGTTAACTCCACGTCCCTTGGTGTGTTGACGGATGTGGAGTTCGAAGTCAGCGGAACGAGAGTTGGCGAAATGATGCTCCTTGAGTTGTGGGAACAGCTTCTTCAAGAACTCTCTCTTCTCGGTGGATCCGACAGTAGTGAAGACTTCACATCCAGCAGCCAAAGCGATAGCAATAGCAGCTTGTCCGACTCCTCCAGCACCTCCGTGGATAAGAACTTTGTCTCCCTTCTTCATCATTCCACGTCTAACCAAAGCATAGTAAGCAGTAGTGTAAACAACTGGAACAGTTGAAGCTTCAGCAAGAGTCCAGTCACTTGGAACCTCCCAAGCGTAGTCTCTGTCAACCATGACAGTTGTGGCAAGAGCCTGAGCTGGAAGAATTCCCATCAGACGAGTTCCATCCTTGAGACGTCCAGAGAACTCCATTCCGAGGAGGCATTCACGATCAGCAAAGTTTCCTGGGATGGCATCTGGTGGAAGACGTCCGTAGGCCAACATGATGTCACGGAAGTTGATTGGAGCATAGTAGACAGAGCACAGCTCTTGAGATGACTTGGTCTTGGCCATCGAGTCGAAGTATTGGTTTGGAGACTCGAACCAGGTGAGGGAAGAGACATCTCCACGGGTGAGGGTGTTGATGAAAGCATGCTCGCAGTCCTTGTAGACGTGAGCATCCTCATCCTTGACAACGATGTGACGCATTGATCCCCATTGTCCATCCATATAGTCGTTAGCATGCATATCCAGATCAATAATCTTCTTGGTCTCCTCGTCTCCGATGTTCCAGACTGGTGGTCCATCACGGATAGCCTTGGTAGCAGACATGTCAAAAGCGGAACGGAATCTGTTTGACTTCAGATTCTCTTCGACGAAGCAAAGAGCAAGTCCGACGATTCCATTGTTGCGACACTTGTTACTGACAAGCCAGATGGTCTTGGCATCAGGCTCGTTCAATCTCTCTTCGACGGTCTTCTGGAGTGGCTCGATCCAAGAGAACTCCTTAATGTCATCGACATCGATGAATGCTGGATCACGTGGAACTGAAGCAATGCGACGGACAGCATATGTGGTTGTCATGAGAGCTGGATCGGATTGGTAGTTGCAGATCTTGAATCCAGTGGTCTCGAACATCTTGAGAAGTTGCTCGTGAGTGAAGAATTGACCGTATTGACGATTCGCGTCTCCAGCCAAATCGGTTCCGAGAAGAGCTTCGATGGCAAGAGCGATTTCGTACTGAGCAGTGACTTCAACAACCAAGAGGAATCCATCGTCACGGATCAAATTCTTGCATGCTTCGATAAAAGCGATTGGATCGGCCTTCTTGTTGAGGACCTTGTCCAAAAGAACGTAGTCCATATTCTTGAGTTCTCCGTGTCCAGTGAAAGCTTCATCCAGAACGATCTTCTGCTTCTTTGCTCCAACGATCTCGAGAGTGCTCTCATCCAAATGATCAACAGTAGCTCCGACGCACGTGTAGTCAACTTCCAAAAGTGGATGAGATGAGTTGGCTTCGATGCAATGACGGATTTGATCGGTGGAAACCAAGTCAACGGCAGCCATCTTGGCATGATGTCCAGCAGAATTTTCGATGCAAATGTCTTGAAGACTCTTGACGATACGATCATTGAGAACAGCTCCAGCCCAGAGACGATCCAACTCAAAGATTCCACGGACACTCTTCAGTTTTCCGATGACTTGATCCTCGAAATCTTCAGAGTCTTGAATCTTGAACATCTCGGTGAAGTGTGGAAGGACAGTGCACTTTCCATCATGCATGAATCGGGTAACCGTATCATCCAACACGACATCAGAAAGCGATGACTTGAGAGCTGGGAGAGCCTTCTCGATCAATGCTCCATTCTTCAACTTCTTCAAAAGTCCAGCACTCTTCCAAGCGGAGAATCCATTGAAAAGGGTTTGTTTGATGACGGAAGTGTAGTCCTTGAGAGTAGCAGCCGTCTCATTATGCTGTTTGAGACAGTTGGTATCGAAGTGTGGAACGAAGAACACCTTCTCGTGGTAGAGTTGTCCAGAAACTTGAATTCTTCTGGCAACGGAATGTGCATTAAGATCACAGCACTCAACTCCTCCAGCAATACATCCATTGGTGGAATGGTCGTTTCTCAATTCGACGACTTGAATTCCATCTCTCTCAACAACATGCTCCAAATGCTTGTTTGGATCGATACGGAGATGACGGACACGAGTTGGGAGACGAAGAGTGTCAGATCTTTCAGCAAGAAGAGCGGTTTGGAGGAGGGAGTCCAAGAAGGTGACCCAGTTTCCGGTCCAATACAAATATCCACGTTCTCCAGAGTTGCAAGTCTTGTAGATTCCACGGAAAGCCTGTCCGTACTCGTACCCTCTGAGAAGGAACTCCTTGTAGGCATCCTCAGTGTCCAGTTCGATACGGTCAGCAATCTCAGAAGTGCGAATGTCCTCCAACTTTCCATAGTAGAATGGTTGGTTGTCTTCTGGAACGTAGATTCTTCCGGAAGCAGCAACTTGCTCATCGGAAATGATCTCGAAGTATCCGTTTCCTGGCGTCAGGACAACATCCAATTTGACTGTAAATTAGAAAATTAGAATTAATTGATAGTTAGGAGTTTTTACTTGGCTTGGTGACAATCGTAGCGGAGTAGACATTGATGTTCTCAAAGACAACTGGAGTCTTTTGGAAGTCCAAACTCTTCAGCTTGCACAAAGTTTTCCAGGCGAGAACCATGTGTCCAGTGAATGGATAAAGAACACGTCCATCGATGACATGGTCAAGAAGGTAAGCCTCCTGAAAAGTTGATTGGATAATACTTCATACACTAATAAAATGATACGTACCTTTGAATCAGCAGCGAATGGATCGATGTTGTAGGTGGCTGATGCTGGAATAGAACCACCTCCACCAGCAACCATATGACGTCCATCAATGGTTTGCCAGTCTTGAGAATGATCCCATTGCCACATTGGACCAATCATTGGAGTTCCCTTTGGAACAACTCCCTTGTATTGACCTCCTGGGTAGAGCTCCGAAATTTGAATGTTGACACCAGCTTGGTAGATCTTTCCAAGGGATCCCAAGAATCCTTCAAGTTCATTGTCGTTTTCGGACTTTGGCTTGTTCATGAGTCCGACATTGGTGACGGTCTTCTGAAGAGAACGGCGAAGAATGGCTTGCATCAACGAGTGTGGAGCCATTTCGATAGTGACGGCGTTGGCTGGGATCTTCTGAAGAGCCTCGTAGAACAAGACTGGAGAGCAGGCGTTGTGAACGTGGTACTCAGCAGAACAAGTAGCAGCCAAATCAGATTCCCAGTCTTCTTCTGGAATGGAAGTAGAGATCCACTTGGAAGATCTTGGCTTTGGTTCTGGAACGGCGGTTCTCATAGACTCAATCATCTCATCCTTGACAGCAAGCATGGCTGGAGAGTGGAAAGGAATTCCGGAAGTGTCGACAACCTTGGCGAAGATCTCCTTCTCCTTGAGTTGAGCACAGAACGAAGCAACTCCTTCAGCATCTCCAGAGATGGTTACAGAGTCAGCTCCGTTGTGGCAAGCAGCAACGACTCCTGGTGGAGCCTGAGCCTTCACTTCCTCCCAAGTGAGACCGACAGCAGCCATAGCTCCCTTGATCTCGGTGTGCTTCATGATGGTTGTACCACGATGATAAGCCAATCTCATGGTTTGTTCACGAGTGATTCCTCCATCAGCATATCCGCATCCCATTTCTCCGGTCGAGTGTCCGATGATTCCATCTGGAGAGACTCCGAGAGCAGTAAGCGTATCAGTCAATGCAATTTGGATAGCAGTGATGGCGAGCATGCAATTCATAGTGTTGTTCGAATATTGCTCTGGATCTGGATTGCAAAGCATTCCGTAGACATCGAGTCCGAACTCCTCAAGGGTCTTGCTGGAAGCGCGAAGAGATTCATCATACATTGGAATCTTCATGAGCTCGATAGCCATTCCTGGCCATTGAGATCCCATTCCAGAGTAGATGAAATAGATTGGACGTGGCTCGGTGATTGGAACCTTGGTGATGTTCTTCAATGCAGCCTGGTTGTTCTCTCTATCCAAAAGCATGAATCCACGGAATGGAAGAAGGTTGGCTGGCATATTGGCTTGGTTGGCCAACAAGGATTGAAGATAGAGATCATCCTTGTTAGCTTCGATTTCTCCGAAGATCTTCTCAACCGACTCTTGAGTTCTTCCACAGTATCTGAAAACATTGACTTGAGTTGTTATGAAACAAGAAGTGAACTTACGTCACGATCTTTGTGAATGGATGTTGAGTGATGGCTGGAGCAACATGGTCAGCAGCCTTCAAGATGACGTGGGTGTTGGATCCTCCGAATCCGAAAGAGTTAACACCAATGATACCTCCTGGAAGAGGTGTTGGTTCCGTGACAACCTTCAAACGCCCGTCGACAAGTCCCGGAATGTACTGATTTGGAGTGTTGTAGTGCAAATTTGGTGGAATCATTTGACGCTCAATGGAGAGGAGAATCTTGGTGAGAGACATGACTCCAGATGCTGGTTCAGCGTGTCCCATGTTGGATTTAACTGATCCAATCAACAGAGAATCGGAACGGCTGGAGCAGAAAACTTGGCAGATGGCATTGGCTTCCTGTGGATCTCCGACCTTGGTTCCGGTTCCGTGAGATTCAACGTAGTAAACTGAGTTTGGATCAACTCCAGCCTCAGAATACACTTCTTGCAACAACTGCGCTTGTCTTTCTCCTGATGGGAAGGTGATGCCCTGCTCCTTGTATCCTAAAAAAGAGCTTGTTTTGAGTTTTGAACTAAAACACCAACGAACCATCAGTGTTAGACTTCGCGTGAAGTACAGTTGCATAAATTCTTTGCGCCTTCTTTTTACGTTGAATGAAGATGGCGGCGACTCCTTCAGTACGGCAATAACCGTCTCCAGAATCATCGAATGAACGGCAGCTTCCCTTATCCGTGAGCATGCCCAATCTCAAGAATTGGAGAGCTGCAGTTGGAGTCAATGTAAGATGAGCTCCGGCGACAATAGCGGCGTCGCATTGACCCTGTCTGATCGAGTCGATGGCAAGTTGGAGTGCCAAAAGTGAAGATGAGCAAGCGGTGTCCACCGAGAACGATGGTCCTTGCAAGTCGAATGTGTATGAGATTCGGTTTGAGAACATGGAACGCACGCAACCCGTCAACGTGTAGCCCGTTACCGATTCGGGGTCTTGTGTGAGCGCTCCGGATGTTTCTGAAGCTGAGCATCCGACGAATACTCCTGTCTTTGATCCGCGGAGATCAATGGGATTTATGCCTGAAAATTTTTGGATAGAGCTTCAGAAATCAAATAGTTGGAATTTCTTCGCTTCAGATGAAATGCTCCCTTCGAATATTTGACTCTTCTTTTAATTCATCCCGTTGATTGGCGGATTTATATTTTCGTTCTAATCATCTACTAGGCCCAGAATCCAAGATGACATCTAAAAAGGTACATCGAGTTCTCGGAAAAAATTTGGTTTAAAGGGTACATGGGATCTTGGACCTATGATTTTCAGCAAAAAGCGAAATAGTCTACATGTACCACAAAACTCCATGAGCCCTTGGAACCAATGTGCCCTAAGAACTAGATATACCCTTTTTCGATATACCCTTGAATGCTGGACCCATCTATCATCACAGTTTGAACTCTCCCTATTCTTCGCATCTCAGAATCCGAAACCCGGCGATTTGCACTTTAACCGATTCCTAATTTCTGTCATGTTATCTTTTCTCCCTTTTCAATTGTTTGACTTGTTCAATATTCGTCTAAATCATAAAAGTGGAACATCCTACTTGTACGGGGTCAGTAGTGCGCGCGCATGACGGTCTCAAGGTTACCACTGCCAGGTACATCGGGAGAGAGACACAGTTTTCCGATTTCCGTCTCCGTCCCGAAGAGTGGGATAAAGTGAGAGATAGAGAGGAACATACCCGCATCAACCATTGCCTCCCACGAAGCTTCAAGTAGAATCCGAACTTGTGGATCCATGAAATTTGCTTGTTTTGGTGTAACTGAAAAGAAGCCCGCATCAAATTTCTTCAATTCCTTCAGTTTTCCGTGTCGTTTTGGAAGATCATAGAAGCCTGGAGGCCATCTGAGATCGTCTTCGGTTACCAAGTCTTCTCCGGCAAGAAGCAAATCTCCGAACTCTTTTACGTTATCGCATCTGAAAAGGAATTTTCTGGAATTTTAGGAATCTTAAAAATCAAGGTATACCTTGGAAATCGGCCCGAGACTCCCGAGATAACGATATCGTCCTGCTTCTGCCACCAGTTAGTTGATTCCATGTTGTCCGAAGACTGAAAATACTCAGTTTAGGGGTGATTTTTGGGGAATTCGGAGTTCTTAGAAGGTGAAGAACGTTGGGAACGTATTGATTGTCTCCTCTAACTATATACAGAAAACATTCTTGGATGAGGCGTGTACTCGGAAAAACGACAAAGGGAAGAGGTAAACGAAGAATGAGAAGAAGAATAAGAAGGCGTCGGCCGACCGGACGAAGACATTTAAGAAAAGAAGAAGAAGAGAAGCGAAGACGATGCGGATGCGAGCGCGCGGTAGAGATGGTAAAAGATAAAAAAGAAGAAGGGACGAGAACCGTCTCGAGATGATGGCGACCGATCCTTTTTCTTGCCTATTAGGTTCTACGACACCGCGACAACCAACCTTTTCTAATTTTAGGACATGTCAGAAAAGAAGAAGAAGACGTGGGTAGGAGGAGGTGGAATCTAAATGCAAGATTCTCTGATTACGGTGGCAGTAAAAGACAGAGGCTAGTGCAAACTTGAAGTGGTACATCCTACTGCTAAAGAGCAATTAGACTTTTGAGTGAATCAGAAAAACAATTTGGTGATCATCTAAATGGAAAAAAAGAAAACTGGCTAAACATCTGATTCATGGACGACCCTTTGACGAAGAATCCAGGAGCATATGTCTCTGATGATCCTTGGGAACATCGCGCCATTTGTTGTTTGCCATCTTTTAAAGTTTTTCCTCTTCTTATATATCCTCCTTTTAAAATCATCATATGACTAGAATCATCATATGAATATGAGTTATCTGAGAAATCCAGAATTGCGAAAAGGATGACAATACACACTGAATACCGGATTCCTTCTTTCCATCTTTGTTATCAAGAAAAATCGGCTATGCCCATTAAGATAGAATCGGGTGATCCAAAAAGTCGAGACCCGTGTCATTTCAAACGGAAAAAACGGAGAGAGGAGAACTCGGAGAAAGGTCGAGATGAGGTGAAAAGATTATCGATAGGGAGAGGGATGGATCCTTTTTGCAGATGATGATGCCCCCGTCCCTGAGTTGTCGTCCGTGTCAAGGAAAACGAGAAAAAGAAGAAAGAAGTAACTGTGTGATTTAATCTCAAGGTACTGTATCTCTGATCATTTGTCGATAAGCCCTCAACGTCTCGGCAAAAGTATGAGATGAAAAAAGTTGCGGAGAGGGAGTAATGGGATGGAAAAGAGCGGAGAAGAAGATGTTTTGTGGGAGATAAGCGATTGAAAAAGAAGGAGAACAAAGTTTGCTGAGAATGACCGCATTCTTTCCATCCGCCGTGTCTTTTAAGCCTTTCAGGAGAGCGGCTCTGTCAATGTGGGCGGAGCGGAGGAGCACTGTCGAGAGATTTGGAGACACAGAGAGACGAAATTCTGGAAGAAGGCTTACCTGAGAATTATCAGAAATACGTTCCCAAGTTCCACTAGAATCGGACGATCCTTCACCAGTGTTATCCATCGTTCGATCTCTGAAAATTGGAATTTTGTTTGGAATCGTTTTAAAGGGAAGAAAGGAGAATAAGAAGAAGAATACTGAGAAAAACAGTAACCAAGGTACAGTAGTTTTTGAAAGAAGAGAAGAGAACGATGTTCTCCAATTGTCCAGCTGATGTGAAATGGACAAAAAACACAAACTCATTCAGTGACATCATAGAGGTCAAAAAAGAGGACAACCGGTTTTCTGCCTCCACCCAATGAAGAGGTCGGTTTCAGATGGAATCTCTCCAGTCATACGGATGCGACTGACTCAGAAAAAAGCTGTTTAGTTGAAGAATACTTGACTACTAGTTGGGGGTACCGGAATAAATGAAGACTCGTCAAATAAGTCTCTCTCGGGGGGTTTTTCAACCATTTTTGGGGCTACATAAGAAACAAGTGAGAGGTGACGGAATAGACTAGATGAATGTGTGGAAGAAGTGGGCGGCCGAATCGTCAGGGTTTTCGACAATGTCCTATCCGAGAGAAGAGCGCACAGTCATAAAATGAGAGAAGCGACCTTGGGACATGATCGCATCGATGTAAACGGCGGTGGCCGAAGCCAAGAGGAGAGGAGGTCAGAACCTACTTATTATCCCTCCTCCCGATCGCCGCTTGTGTTCGTTGAAAGTTGCATTCGTGGACCCATATCTCTCTAGGTTTGCAGTTTTTGCAGTTCACGTGATTTCCAAATGAGAAGTACTACTGGCTCATTTTAAAGAACATGGGGAGAGAGAAGAAGGCGTCGTTACTGAATCCGTTCAAAGTACTTTTTCACTCCGCCACAAAGGTGTCAACCTTTTAGATGTACTCTGCAAAGCGTGACCCAATTTGTGAAGCAAGGCGTACGTCGCCAGCGATGGAATGATATCTTCTTGTGATTGGGATAACGTTTACTAGCACTGGTCTTTGGCTGGTACAAAAACCTGGGTTTTGCATGAAAAAGTGCATCTGATCGCAGTGATTTTGCAACATGACCTTTATCACAAACAGAGAGTTTCACACTGATTTCTGATTTTTTCTGTGCTTTTGCAAAACCGAAGGTCTTCAAGAAAAAGTACAGATTTGAGATAGAACTAATGGTTTTGGAATTTTTAACTATCGTAAACTCTCTAATAGAAGGCCATCCAAACTGCGCAACTTTGAGCTCCTATATCTCAGTTCATGTGAAAGTTATAAAAAAATTCTCAAGTGCTATAATATTGGTAATATTATGATAAATAGTTTTGTCAATTGACAAAATTTTGTCTCTCAGAGGAACCGAGGTAATGCAGCTCAAAGTGGACGGTTTTCGCAGGCTTCCATCAGAGGAAATACGTTAAATGTTTTGCATCAAAACTCTTTGAGGCGAGGATCTAACTAAGGCCTAAGTTACGGATTTTATTCTACGACTGATCTGCAATCAGCCTAATCAAACTCTTCAGAATTCGGAGCCTCTCAGCGGCAAATATGAATTAATGAGGTCTACGTTCAACTTTCGAACAGTCAATTTTTCAAATGCGCTCTCTCTTTTTTGATACCTCTCTAAATATCTAGCATAACGTTTCGAAGTTTTCTGTTGCTATTCACAAAGGTGCCTTGCTGAAAATATCTGGAATTCTCGGCATATCAAATTCAAATTTTTAGGCTGATGCGTTCCTCATACTGTAAAAAAGAGGGAATAAAAGAGAAGACAATCGAATGATTCACCATCGGAATTTAATCTATTTGAGCAAAAGAATGGTAGGCGGTATGCCATTCAATCTACTCTGAGAGCACAAAATTGATTGAAAATCGTTTTGCGTGGGATGTCTCCCGAACTGAAAAAAAAAGAAGTTTCAGATGAATAATAGAAACAAAATAAAAGGAAGAAGGCTACGTCTACGTCGTTTTTTTTACTGTAACTTTTAAATCAAAACTACCACCTACAAGATGTAATTACATCAGTTTTTGGTTGATTCTGGTTTCTGTCATCAACTAAAAATGCCTGGTTTGACCGATACGACAAACCACCCAAGGGTTAAAAAATTACTGATTTTAGCGGTGTGGTTGGGAGAGAATAAAAGTGAAAAAAGAAGAAAGTAATAGTACAGAGCCGTCAAAAACAATTACAGTAATTCAGTTTGAACCTTCTTCTTCTTCTCTTTCCTGTCAATGGCATGATACTGAAATGTTTTTTGCAATTTGTAGTTTGACAAGTTACAAGATAGGACGTCATCAAAATAATGGAATGATTGTGATCTATTCCTTCCGAATTGTTCAACAGTACAATTCAACAAACAGTTGATAACGACTGATGACGTCGTCGTCGTTTTTTTGATGATGTTTGGAATTCTCATCATTCCAAAAAATCATTTATTCTTTTTCGTATTCTGAACATATATAGTTTCCTACATGTTAATAGATGGAGATTCCAATCTATGAAACTTTCCAACTCGTTTCTTTTTCATTCAGATTCTGGAGGGCGATAAGAGTTTTCTAGAAGGAGAAATGAAAAGGAAAAATCTAGTACATGTGAATCGAACCATTTTGGTTGACTGGTTTGATATAGTATTTAGGGTTTTATCGAAATTTGGAATGGGACTATGAAGGATTGTAAAGGGTAAATCAGAAAACATGAAATTGATTCAAGTAAATTCAGTCCCAAAACTATTCTCATAATTTCAAAATTGTAAGATTGTTTATCTTCGAATGAGTATTGCCAAAGTAAGAGCAGCTTGAACTTTGGGCAGTATTGACTTGTCATAGAATGAGTTTGAATTCCATGACTACAACCAAACCATTTGGATGACGGCTTCCGTAACTTCTGATCAGAAGAGGGGTTCGACTTTTAGACGGATATTTATCAGGTTCTGGTCGGAATTTGTTCAAAAACGGCCCAATCGCGGTCCATGGTCACATTTCGGTTGAAAGATGAAAGTTGAAATACGACTAGGTCGGAAATTTGTCAAAAGTTTGTAAGAGTTTGGTCGGCTTTAGTAGCGGTATTATCCGGAACCTGACCAACCTTCGACCAGAAGTTGCCGGTGACGTCCGAGCAGATGTGATTGGAGAAACTTTGAACAGGTCGAGGTAGTTTAAAAATGAACAACTGAACGCGGAAAAAGCCCTTTTTGTTTTAAAAGTTGATACTTTTAGTTGCTGGGTTTTCTCACAAGATGTACATCCACTCTGCAAAATGGTGTGTTATTTAAAGCATTCATTAGAAGTTTCGACAATAACTTAGAAAGTACAAACATTTTGGGGTCATTGAGGTACACTACAAACCTTTATAGGAGTATAAAATACCTGAAAAACTCAATTTTTGTCCTCCCGAATTGTGGGTTTTGTACCCCGTTGTACACCCGAATGGTTGTACCCTCCAAATTATTTGCCAGAAGCTTCCCAAGATTCAGATAGGCCTGATTTTTTATTTGAACTGGAATACTATAACTTACAGTTTTGCACGAAATATAAAGAATAAGGTTATTTGGTCTTTGGACGGATATTTATCAGGTTCTGGTCGGAACTTGCCCAAAAACGACTGTATAGCGGACCATGATCAGAGTTTGGTCATAATTTAAAAATTGAAATACTACATCGCGAGGTCGGAAGTTTTTAATGAGTTTGTCAGAGTTTGATCGGATTTATTGAAGGCCTTGTCCGGAACCTGACCAACCTCCGACCAGAAGTTGGCGGCGATGCCTCAGTTTACGAAAGCTTAGTATAACACTGATACATTGTAGTGTTCTAAAATTTCTACCGTACACATGCAAAGTAGTAGCGGCAAGACCCATCCATAGCCACATCAAAAAAGATTCTAAGATGGAATACTCGGAAATACCGAAAATCTTTGAAAAAGGCGAAAATTTTATGAAGCGCTTGCCAGACATCCAAAACAAAATTTGAAATTCTCTCATTATATAACATAAAAACCCATAAAAAACCAAGACACAGTATTCCAGAGACAGGTCTGATCGATGGCTATCTTTTCAACATATTCCGTGTGTTCCAAACTACATTCAAAACCAGCTCAAATGTCGTCTTTAGGTTGGCATATGTGAATTAAACAAAACACGTTCTTTCTTTACAGAAAATTATCAGATTGAAAAATGCCGCGGTACACATGAGAGGGGAGGAGAAAAGGAAATGGATCAGGAGTTCGATAGGCAGAGAAAGAAGAAGCTTCAAAAAAGGGTTTATTCTGTTGAACTGTTTCTTTTCGTTTTCTTTCATTTTTCTGGTTTTCGGTTATGTTCTTAGAAACATTGAAAGTTTTGAAAAATGTATTAATTCGAAGGTACTGCACTATTATTGTATCCCTAATTGTTTTATTTTTCGTGATATCTCTCTGTTCTCAAATGGAAATTTATGAAAGCATAGAAGAAGTTGGTTGGAATGAAATCTGAAAAATAGATTCCTAAAGTTTACAGAAAGTCGAGCTGACCGATCAGTTTTCATTATCACGAAATGCGAAAAGCAAAAAATTAGATATCACTGTTTTGATAATTGTTAACGATGCTGAAAGTGCTGAAAAAGAATACGACACATCTCTTAATTCAATTCGATGTTATTGTGAAAACCAAAAATATCGGCTTGAAATTGTCGAAGATACCGATTTCAGACATTTCTGTCAACAAGAGAATGTGAGCTGGAACTTTAATTTGAAGATGTTTTCTATTTTATATATTTCAGAGCATATTCCGTCGACATTGTATAGTTGCTCACCTTCTACGAGAAAGTGAATATGTATTCCTTTTGGAACCTGGAATGGCTGTTGTCAATGATGATATGTGAGATTTATTCATTACTTTTCGAGAAAAATATACATTTTCCAGACGGCTGGAAGAATTCATTGATGACAGATATGATATGACTATGTATGATAAATTTACAAGCTGGGAAATTGATACAAGTGAGTATTAAGTTTTAAGAGAATTGTTTAAATAAGCAAATTGACATTGATTCTCTAAATTGATATTTTTGATTTAAATGTCTTCAGATTTCCAAAAGTTTCAATTTTTCAAAAATACGTTAATCAAAAGATGTCCGAAAACTCTTTTGTGAAGAAAGCGTGTACCGTTAAACCTTCAATAGAAATACCCCCACATTGTCAAGTTTGAGCTAATTTACCTTGGCTCACATGCAAGATATCAAAAATGTGTCAACAGACAAAACATTTCTGAAATCATGGTAAAAATTTTATCAGCTAACAACTTTCTTATATCAGTGACAGTATCCGAGAAAAACTGACTCAAAGCTTAAAGTCAGAGGATGCAGGTTTAACGATAAATTTATTTTAAAATTTTCAATTGTTCTGCCATGTTTATACTTTTCAATTGTGCTAATTCTCTCAATATTTCAGGTTCATATGTTGTTAAGAATACTGTCTGGTCTCGTGATTTTCTGATGAAACTCGCAGAATTTGAGACGAAAATTCCATCTTCGAGCAATGATAACACTGCTCTTCATGTAAAAGCTCTGCATCCAGTGGGATAATATTTTAAGATTTTCCAGATCCTTCTTCAAAAAACCTTCTATCCACAGTTTACCGAAGATGCAGGAAACTGCATGAAAATTTTGGAAAACTTAGAGTTTTCTACTGGAAACCAACAAATTATGTTAACTTTTGAAGCGTGCATTCGATCTGTTATTGGAGAAAACCATGAATTCAAAAATAATTTAAGAATTATCAAAAAAGTGAGTCGAATAGGATTATCTCCAGTTAATGACATTTGTTTCAGGGAACGGCATGGACCAGAGAAATCTGGTTGACTGACTCAAAATGGAATCAGAATCGAGATTTTATACTAAACGGATTGAAGAACTCTCATCAGACAACATTTGCACATGGCGTGTTGTCTGATATGTAAGATTTTGTATTCTTATGATTCTGACAATTTGAAAAATTTAAAGCTTGCTCGGACGACAAACATGGAGGTCTCCTTTTATGAAGACACCAAGCCAAGAAAAATGTGATTTCTCCAAATGGGAATATGACCAATCATTGATTGTTTCCAAGTTTGAAATAGATGAATATCTGATGGAGAAGTTCGAAGAGGTTGAAAAGATGAGATGGCAAAGTTTAGCGGCAGTTGGAAATTATATGAGCAAAGTATAATTGTCTTGATTGTTTAGGTTTCATTTCATTTGTACAGATAATAACATTTCTCAGGAACGTTTTCAAATATTTTTTTTGAGATTTGAAAATAATATAACCTGAAACAAGACATCCTTCATTCAAAAATGTTTCGTAACACACCTAGAATATCATTGACCATGTTTTAAAGAAAGGCGCATGATTACCCATACGAAATTTTGTATTAGTATAAAATTGGATTCTGTGATCCTGAGATTCTGAGTTTTGAAATTCTAAAATGTTGAAATCTCGAAGCTTTGATATTCTGAGATTCTGAGATTCTATTTGGAAATTCTAGGATTCTGAGATTTTTGGGTTTTTCAAAAAATTTGGAAAAATCTGAAGTTCTGAAATTCTGCAATTCAAAAAATAGTAAAGTACAATGATTTTCAAAGCGTTTTCCTCGTGCATCGATAAAAAAAAACAAAACTCAAAAAATTGATAAAATATGAATTTATTCGTGAACTGATACAGTTTGGTTTTTGAGACTCCAGGCATCACTCTCTCACCCAATTCTTTAATTTATCAGTCATAATGTTAACGTTCATAATATGCTGAACCATAAGTAGGGCTTTATACTTTGGATAGATCCGTATTGAACGAATAGTTGATTGTGATAGAGGTGGAAAGCATCCATGCCTTGTTCAGATACTCCCCCCCCCCCCCCACGTTTTGTTATTTTCCAGGAAAGGGGCCAAGTGAGCCAAATATATGTGCAGTCTAGGGAGAACACTGGGATTTAAATGTTGCATCTTCAGGTTGATTTTGAGCGATTCCATATTTTTTTTCTTCATCTCGATGTCGTCTTTTGTTTTGACCGCATTGTTACTAGAAGACATCCCTTCACATAAATCTATCATCGCCCGTCTCATTCCAGAAACATCCACAGTACATAGGAAGATGTCTAACAATTTATCGACATTCTCTGGTTTCAGAAGGCTCTTTGGCTGGAATTAAAACAGTTTTAAAATATAACGTATGTTTGATTTGGTAGGAACCTGATTTCCCGTTAGCTGCTGGTAATGGGCTCTTGGGTCACACCCAATCGATGAGAGTGCGTATTCCTACTTGAGGGAGCATTTTTTCTGTTGCTTTTTTTTGTTGCTTTTTTCCCCGTGATATTAGTTCACGGGAAGAAATTTTCATCACTTGGAAAGAAATTGCAGAAAAAATTTTTCACGTGGATCCACAATACGATTTCGAATGGAAAAATAGTTTCAAATGTATTCCCCTCCCCCCACACGAATTGTTCTCCTTTTGATGAGGACTTTTTATTTGATTTATTGAAAACATGACAGATAATACACAGTATTACAACAACACAAAGAGCAGATATCTTCTCAAAAACAAAAACCACGTCACCCAGAAGTCTGATTAGTCGGGCTAATTTAACCCTTTCAAAAACTTCCGGAAAAATGTGATGACTAAATTGGCGAACACTTTGTACCTTAGCCACCGTGAAGTCATTTTAGCTCTTAAAAGTACTTTCAGCAAATAAAAAATAGGCTTAACCCTTGAAAATAGGCCTAGCATCCTAAATATGCCGATTAAAATACAGGCTTAGGAAAAAAACCTCAAAAAATATTAAGTGGGCTAATAAGAAACCGAGCTGAAAAATCTAGCTAAAAAGTTAAAAATTAGCCTAAAAATCTTAATTTTTGCTTCAATTTTACCACATTTCCAGTCTAAAAACTCAAATTCTTCAAAATTCACAAAATCTCAAAGCCAAAAACCGAAAAATAGCACATGTTTCGTTTTTTGGGTGAAAAAAATTAAATATCTGCCGTATTGGCTGGAACGGCGTCGAAGCTTCTACTTCTGTCAGCTTTTGTCTTTTTCGATGACGGTTCAAGTAGGGGAGGAGAAGACGCTGTAGAATCTCGGTTAGCAAACTGAAATGATTTATCGAAATTTTAAGCTTCCACTAATTTTTGTACTATAACTGACAGAAGTTATCGGCTGGAAATTTTCTCGAAATCAGCGAATTTGACACTTCCGACTGAAATCTAAAGTTTTTCTCAGATTTTTTTTTCAAATCTACCCCCGTTCCAGTTTTTCTTCCTTCCTCTTTTTCAGTCGTTTCTTGGACGTACCAGAAAATTGAGAATTTCCTGGCTCTCTGAAAAAATTGGATTTGAAATGCGGACTTTCTGAACGCTTCTTACCTTTTGAAAGTACAGTAGCAGTGCTACCTCCTGAATAAACCAAAATTTCGACTTCTAGCTTCCGACATTTGTCTCCTGGCCATTTTTCCTATTTTTCTGCAAATAAAAAGCAAAATACTGGCTGAGACAGTATTCTAGTATTCTTTTGTAGGTTAAATAATGATTTACGGACAAAATTTGCGAAGGAAACTGAAAAAAAACGATGAAAAATAACCAAAATAGGTGAAAGAACTTCGAAAAAGGAAAAACAAGAGATTTTTCGCGACTGGTCAATTGTAGACCTTTTATAGGGTCAGTTAGTAAGATACGCAATGTGCTCGTGAATGTTCAATTGTAGAAGCACTAGTTTGCGGTAGGTGAGTAATTGGGTCGTTTATAGCTCTTCATCTGTAATTGGTCAATCACGAATCACCTGTGTAGCGTCTGACTTCCCAAAGCTGCCATTTGCACCGATGCGTCGGTGCAAATGGTCATTGCTTCTTCATTAACTTCCATGAAAGTTCACGTCGAAAAATAATTTAGATCACGGTTACCCAAAAGCCAGCTCATATTCTACAATCCACGATTCTTCTAACAGAGCTGTTAGTTTCAAAAAAGTGAGAGTCAGTATTCAAAATATAAGGTCAAGGAAAATCCACTGAGAACAGTAATGAAATATTTAAAAGAAGAGTCGAATCTTGACGATTATTACAGGAACATGCCTCCTCGCACTAGAAATACCAGAAAAAAAGCTGTCGAATTAGCTCCAACTATGAAACGGATGATGGAAGTGAAGAACTCCGAATTGGTATTTTTTCAAGTGTACTTTTCATAGTAATAGACTTATCACAGATTTTCAATAACGATGAGATTCCATATTCTAGTGACACACTCAACATTTTCTCTGAGTTTTACGAGGCGGTTGACAAAATTGCGGACAACGTTACCGCTAAGTACAAGCCGATGTTTGACGTCAAAGAAGTACTTCAGAAGTATCTCAAGGTGAGATTGGAACTTACTGGTAACAGTTCGGAAATCTTTTTTTTTCAGGATATTCCCAGAGATTTCGTACCCAATCTAGAAACGAAGGAAGAGATAAAGAACGAAACGATGGATCTCCTTGAAACTGAAGTGGAATCTCTTGAAGACATGGAAATTGGTGTTGCTTCAAATAGAACTGAAGATTGGCGTGGTATCAGAAGTCAAACGTTGACATCTTCTGAAGATGATCTCGACAACCCTTCGATTTCTGACGCAATTACTACGCAGTTAGAAGAAATGTCAATTGTGGAGGATTTGGAGTTGAATATCCCACTTCTTACGAGCACTCCAATCAAGACAGAGTTGTCTTTGAAGATTGATGACGAGCAGTTGACGACCGATGGAATTAAGATCAATTCGGAGCAAATAAAAGATGTGAACGATTTGGAAACCACTGGTTCTGTTGTTGAAATTGTGGAGAAAAAGGAGGTTGAGGAAAGTAAGCCTAGAACCCTCACAACCACAGACAAAGGACAAAAAGAAGGAAGCACAGTTCTGAAATCTTCCAAGCTGTCTTCACCAATTCCGAAGGCGTCATCTACAGTATCACCTCACCAATATTCCAACCGGAACAACTTACATACGCCAAGAACCACCGACATCCGCCTCAGAACTCCTAAGGTGGACCCAACCAAACTACACACTACAAAGAAGGAGAATCGTGGTTCGGATAGTCATGATAGCAAAATGGCACATGCTAATGAACTTCGTTCGAAACTGTTGCTACTGAAAAAGGAGAAAATTCGCGAGGACAACGAAAGAAAGGCATCGGAAGTTTTGGAGAGGAAAAAGGCTCTGGAAGAGCAGAAAATGAAGCAAAAGTCGTCTTCTCGACATGGTGCATCGTTAAAAAGAACTGAGACATTGGCTGGAGGACAAGGCCCAAACAAGAAAACTCGTGTTCATTTGTTTCCAAAAGAAGATAAAGCCTCGGTGCTTGATACCTCAGATGTCGTTGTATTGGTGAGTGAATCTTGCACCTGAGAAAAAAAATTTGAACATTGTAACAAATTTCAGACACACTCTGTCAAGAAACAAGAAATTGGATTCACCACAAACTCGAATAAAATGACTTCTCATCGTGGTGTCTGCCGGGAGAATACAACATCTGACTACGGTTTAGACGACTTGAACAGCGACGAAGACACTGACGATGAGAATAATCCACGAAATGAGATTCCAATGTGGGCAGAATTCAGTTTTGTGAAGCGTAGTGTTCGTGAACACATTGAGAATCCTCCATTCGATCTGGATGAGTTCTTTGGGAAAATCGAAAAGGTTTACAGTTGCTATGAAGTTAAAAAATTTTGTTTATTCAGCCGAACCTCCAGGAAATATTTGGCAAAATCATCAAAGCAAAGCTCGAGGATCTTCTGCGCGCTGGAATTGAGGATCGTCAAAATGAACAGAACACTGAATAAACTCGTTGAATTATAAATTATTTTTTAATTGTGAATGAATTCAAAGGGGAATTTGACCAAAAATTTTCTGAGATTTTGAGATTCTGAGATTCTGAGATTTTGAGATTCTGAGATTCTGAGAGTCTGAGATTCTGAGGTTCTGAGATTCTAAGATTCTGAGATTCTAAGATTCTGAGATTCTAAGATTCTGAGATTCTGAAATTCTGAAATTCTGAAATTCTGAGTTTCTGAGATTCTGAGATTCTGGAATTCGGAAATTATGAAATTCTGAGAGTCTGAGATTCTGAGGTTCTGAGGTTCTGAGATTCTAAGATTCTGAGATTTTGAGATTCTGAGATTCTGAGATTCTGAGAGTCTGAGATTCTGAGGTTCTGAGATTCTAAGATTCTGAGATTCTAAGATTCTGAGATTCTGCTGAGATTCTGAGATTCTGATATTCTGAGATTCTGAGATTCTGAAATTCTGAAATTCTGAAATTCTGAAATTCTGAGTTTCTGAGATTCTGAGATTCTGAGATTCTGGAATTCGGAAATTATGAAATTCTGAGATTCTGAGATTGTTCAATTTCAAAAAATAAGGAAACTGAATACTTAATTCAAAAAAAATGAACATCTAAAAAAAAGAAAGTGGTACAAAGGTTGAGGACTCGGAAAATGAGAACTGCTACAAATAAGAATTTGTACGGATAAGAACTCTTAAAATATAGGCCAAAACATGAATTTTTTGGAAAATCTTGAAGTATTGTGAAGAACGAGACCATTTCGAAATTATTTTTCTTTAAAAGATGGATCCTGAGCCGAAAATAAGAGCCGGTAAACTGTTCTCATTTGTAGCAGTTCTCACGTCAAAAGTTCTTAAATTTTGTACCACGAAAAAGAAATTCCAGAATGTTCTAAAATATATTCTGATAGTGAGATCCTGAAATTTCGATATTCTGTAATTTTGAGATTCTGGATTCTAAAATCCTGAGAATCTGAATTTTTTTTAAATTTATCGTTCGGTTTTCGTCTTGACACTTCTCATTCTTTCCTCCCATCGGAACATCTCCTTCATTTTAACGACTACTTTCTTTAAAATCGTACTCAACTTTGAAATTGTCATCTTTCCTAAAAGCGGGATGTCCCTCGTGTTCACCATGACAATAGTCCGTCCACAATACATTTTCCCCTCAAAGTGCACATTAATGTTTCATCCTCATGGTGACTCCGCTTTGTCGTCAAGGTACCACCACTCGGCTCGGAGGCTCCTTTCTTTTTCTAGCACTTTACATTTTGTTATTTTGGCTGAGAAGCCAACTAAAGCGGGAGTAGGAGTACGATGCCGCAGTACAAAGGAAGTGTGAGTTAGGCTTTTTCATTTCTTAGTATCTTAATCAGAATAATTTGAGAGAGAAGTTATATCAATTCATGTTGGTCAAGCTGGTGTCCAGATTGGAAACGCCTGTTGGGAGCTATTCTGTCTGGAACATGGAATTCAACCAGACGGATATCACGTTGAAGATGATTCTTACGATGAAGAAACTGAAACGATCAACACTTTCTTCGCTGAAACAGCTGGAGGAAAACATGTTCCACGCTGCCTTTTTGTCGATTTGGAGCCAACTGTCGTAGGTGAGTTAGCGAGAATTGGCACAGATGAAAAATTATTTTTTATGTTCTTCTAGATGAGGTGCGAACCGGAACCTACCGTAGTCTCTTTCATCCGGAGCAACTACTTTCCGGAAAAGAAGACGCAGCTAATTGCTATGCAAGAGGAAGATATACGATTGGAAGAGAGATGATTGATGTATAAAAATAGAAAACGCGAAATGTTTGATTTTTGACTTTTGATTTTAGGTGGTTATGGATCGTGTGAAACGACTTGCTGAGAACTGTAACGGACTTCAAGGTTTTGTGATATTCCACTCTTTTGGAGGAGGAACTGGCTCAGGATTTCTATCGCTTTTAATGGAAAGACTCTCAACTGAATACGGAAAGAAACCAAAACTCGAGTTTGCCATCTATCCAGCACCACAAGTATCCACTTCAATGGTTGAACCCTACAATTCGATTTTGATGACTCATACGACACTGGAACATTCTGATTGCACTTTTATGGTTGACAACGAGGCAATTTATGATATCTGCAGAAGAAATCTGGACTTAGCCAGGTAACATAAGCACATCCTTTATTCAAAAAACATTCAAACATCTATGTTATACTTATTTATCTTTCCTCTTCGTACATTGTAGTGTTAGATGGTCATTTGGGAGCCGGCGTTGCTGAAGAGAGATTTTTAAACGGCAATTAGATACTGCAACTTACTCTGGAATCTCAACAGCGGTGCGAACATCTTGGGAGGATCTGCTGAAAATGTATTTTCCGTTAAAATCAAGTCATTTCAATTTCCCAGACCTCATGTCAGTCAGAATTTCAACGGCAGTAAGAACATCTTTCGATGAACGAATCGATTCAATTTCCTGGGCAGTGATAGTTGAATGATTACTCGAAGAAGGAGTTGCAATGCTACGAGCAGTCAAAACTCCAATTGTTGGAGGTTGAATCTCGACAGCGGTGAGCACATCCTTCGATTCTTGATGATCCGTATTGGAAGTGGAACGAGCAGTGCGAGTTGAGAGGAGGTTGGGCTCCAAGATTTGGGCAGTGAGAACTCCTGAAACAATTTCTAAAGGGTTGATATACTTTGTTGTTTTGATTACCAGGGCTCGTCGCAGTCAAGTCTTTCGCCGATCTAACGCTCAAAAGATTAGGCTCTGGGGATTGAGCGGTAAGGATTCCATCATTTTTAGTGAAGATTCCTGGACTACGAGCCGAGTAGACACTCAATAAATTTGGTTCAAGCGAGTTGGCTGTACGAGTGCTCAAAAGATTTGGTTCGACGCTTTGAGCAGTACGAGTGGATTCAGTGGAACGAGCAGTGCGAGTTGAGAGGAGGTTGGGCTCCAAGACTTGGGCAGTGAGAACTCCTGAAACAATTTCTAAAGGGTTGATATACTTAGTTGTTTTGATTACCAGGGCTCATCGCAGTCAAGTCTTTCGCCGATCTAACGCTCAAAAGATTAGGCTCTGGGGATTGAGCGGTAAGGATTCCATCATTTTTAGTGAAGATTCCTGGACTACGAGCCGAGTAGACACTCAATAAATTTGGTTCAAGCGAGTTGGCTGTACGAGTGCTCAAAAGATTTGGTTCGACGCTTTGAGCAGTACGAGTGGATTCAGTGGAACGGGCGGTGCCAAGAGCCAATTCGGAGACTGATTCACGGGCGGTACGCAGTTGATTCATTTCCGCATCAGACAGTTTATTGTTCTTGGCAAATTCACGTTCAAGACGTTGACATGTTTCAGGTCCAAGAAGAGTGACAAGTTGACCGAAAGTGAATTTCACTTTGGTAATATCGATGCCCTCTTGTTTGGGACCGCTCTGAAATACGGATTCAAAAATGAGGAGTCTAGTTTTAAACGTACAGCGTTCCCCTCATTCAAATTGGGATTCGAAGTACTTCCCTCCACAGCAGTACGTGCATCAGCATCTCCATGAGTCGTGAAATACACTTTTCCATTAATAATCTGAGGGACCACAATGGCATTGTCCAATGACTCAATGCGGGAACTAAATATGGACCGATTCTATAACTTTTATAGTCTTTAAAATTACCGGATTTCCTTGGCATTGACTGGAGTTCCAGTAAGGAATGGGCGGTTTGGAGCATCACGAGAGTAGACCTGATCCTTGTTCGCCTGATTCTGAAGATCACGGAGAATGTATTCAGAATCAATCTTCTGAACAATCTTTGCATTGTCTTTTGATGTATTCTTGTTCAAATCGGCAAGCACGTACTGCGAACTATTTGGTTTGAGTTGCTCTGAAATGTTTTATTTTTTGTCTGGCAGTTCCCATATTTTAAACCTCCAAGAGCCTCGCCATATTGATCACACAAGTACTTGCTGCGTTCGTTCGAATTCATACTAAATTTGAGATGTCTGTTTTCGGATGACCGGCTTGTATTTTCAGTATGGAGGTTGAAAACTGAAGTACCTTGCTGGGATTTTTTTCCGGTTGTTGATTTCTTTTCGTATTGCCACACGATCCAGTTGTTCTACGTAAGAAATCTGGATCACGTATCCATTAGGAATGAAACGTTCGACATAAGCGAACTTGATTGAGTACTATTATGCTGGTATCCAAAAATCAGAACTGTGGAAGAGAAAATCAAAAAAAAAAGGATTTAGAAACATTTTATTTTCTTAATTAACTGGTTGTTCCCAAGACAAAAGTTGTCGAAAAGTAATATCGAAAAAAATTGAAAATTTCTGGTTACGATGGTTTTCGTTACTCGACTGCGGCTGTCGTCTTTTGGGCGAAGGTTGGCCCCTTTTTGGGCGCTGTTTGGCCAGATTACGCTTGAGATTTTCCCAGAAGGTGCCCAAACGCCGCTCAAAAGCTGGCAAAACTTCGCCCAGCTTTCGCCTAAAACCTTCCGCCTTTGCCTTGGGTTGGCCTTAATTTGTTTTTTTCTTTCTTGGAAGACTAGTTCAATGAGGCCAACGGTCCCTAGTGGACCGTTGGCCTCGCCCACAAGATTTTCTCTCCCCCAGCTCCGATTTTTTTGTACCAGAACGAAACCTTCGAAATTCGAAAAAACAGGAAATCGTTGAAACATCTTTTTCAGACCAACCTACACAAACTTGAATCGCCTGGTTGCTCAAATCATCAGCTCGATCACAGCATCCCTTCGTTTTGAAGGAGCTCTTAATGTGGATCTCACCGAATTCCAGACGAATCTTGTGAGCTGGAAACTTACAAAACGATTCCATCATTTTTCAGTTGTTTTTTTTTTACTATTTTCAGAAGTCTGGAGTTCGGCTGTCGAGTTTCCGATCACTTTGAACGTTTTGGAGAATGTAAAACAGACCTAGGTTAAAAACTTTGAATTCGCAAAATGTTTTGAAAATCTTGCTTTTCAGCTATTCGCCGATTTCAGAAAGACTCTTCTTTTTTCATGTGTATAGTACGAAAATCTGACCAATAGGGGATATTTTTCCGAAATCGGCTGATACCTGAAAAACTAGGACTTCTCAAAAAAAATTCTGTAAATGCAAAGTTTTCAATCTAATAGTAAGTCTGTTTTGCATTCTCCAAAACTTTCAAAGTGATCGGAAACTTGGCAGTCGAACTGCAGTCTCCTGAGAATAGCCAAAATAGCCGAAAATCAACTGAAAAATCCGTGTTTGTATATCTTATTGGCTGTACATTCCAGGTTCCATACCCACGTATTCATTTCCCACTTGTCACTTATGCTCCATTGGTATCTGCTGAGCGTGCATCTCATGAACAGAATACAGTGGCAGATATGACTCATGCATGTTTCGAACCTGGATATCAAATGGTAAAATGTGATCCAAGGCGTGGAAAGTACATGGCTGTCTGTCTGCTATACCGAGGAGACGTCGTTCCAAAAGACATCAATTCCGCAATCGCATCAGTTAAAACAAAACGGACGGTGCAATTCGTTGAATGGTATGATGTGATGATCATCCTTGCATAAATATGATGTTTCAGGTGTCCAACTGGTTTTAAAGTTGGAATCAATTATCAACCGCCGACTGTGGTTCCTGGTGGAGATTTGGGAAAACAAACAAGAAGTGTTTGCATGATAAGGTTGACTTTTGGTTTCATATGTCTCTGAACTTTGCTTTTGTTTTACAGTAATACAACTGCGATTGCCGAAGCATGGGCTCGATTGGATCATAAATTTGATTTGATGTATTCGAAACGTGCATTTGTGCACTGGTATGTCGGAGAAGGTGAATTCTTTATCGAAGGAATTTAGGTCTCTTATTTTGAGAATTCAGGTATGGAAGAAGGTGAATTTTCTGAAGCTCGAGAAGACATGGCTGCTCTTGAAAAAGACTACGAAGAAATCGGCGAGGATGAGCTTCCAGATGACATTGATGATCAGTCCTATCGGGGAAGAAGTGCTGCTTCAAGATATTAAGACAACTTTTTGTATACGGAATCTATTTTTTAAAATCTTCATTTATTCAAAGTGTTAGTAAGAGAAAATACGCTCTACTGTTAATCAAGCATGCTGTTGATAGAGCGCATTCGCAATCAAAGAAGAAATATACAAAAAAACCGACTACAATCATCAGCATAAAAACCCGCAGAAATATATATTTTAAGTACAACACATACAGTATCTAAAGTTTTTTAAATCAAATAAATATTTTTTAATTAAATAGTTTTTCTTTTTTCACTGGGAGTTTCTTCTCTCTGGCAAATATGAACTTCTGGTTGAGCCACTTTGGAATGTTGACTGTTCTGACTGAAACAAATTCAAATTATTTAAATATTGAAAGATCTGATATGATTTGTTTCTCACCTGGTAATTTGGCTTTTTCGGATAGATGAACATGAACTGCCTCGATGGACTTTCAGATTCCTCGACTGGATTTGTATGAACTCTGAAATTGTTTTTGTCTGGAACCCGGTAAATTTAAAACATTGAAATACCTGCGAATCGGTGGTTTAGTGTATGCCGATGGTGTTGGTGGAAGGGAACTATTGGGCAATGACTTCACAACACGAATAGTTGTTCTTTTTGGTGCAATCCCTGTTTCCACGTCTTCCGTTTTATCAGTCCTCCTACCCAAACATTTTTGGAAGGGTTGACGAATTCGGGTAGAGTACTGTAACCAAATACGTCTCCTTAACTTTTTGAGGGGGATATTTTTGGAAACATAATTTTTATAATACAGTATCGTTCAATTAGATATACAAACCCGTGTTTTGATTTTTTGTAGTTTCGATCACTTTGAAAAAATTTGGAGGATGTGAAATTTGATGAAAATGTCTAGTTTTCAGCTATTTGCCGATTTCAAAATGGTCGAAACACATGAATGTTGTTATACTAAACGTTAAAAAAAACTCTCTTCTTTTTTTGGCTTTAAAATATCAACACTTCTCAAAAAACAAAAAACTTTCCCAGTATTTCTAGATCTTTGAATATGCAGACATCTTTTCAGGTCTTTTTGGCCATACTTCTCACCAGGTTCTAACTTCTCAACTGATTCTTGATGAATCAAAAATATTGAATATACACTTCTGCTACGGTACCTTTTTCCAAATATTTTGAAAAATTGTTATGGGTTGCTCATCTTCCGTATTATTCTGGTACAATGAAATCGGAGTTGTGGAAGAGAAACGCCAGTGGCCGTGGTCGTGAAGGTTCCTCAACGACAACTACAGTGACCAAATCTTTATACTTATTTAATTCGTTTTATACTGCTTTTCCTAGAGTTTTTTTTTTGTTATTTTCCCAATACAAGTCGGAAAATAAAAATTTGAAAGTGAGGAAATTGTCTGGAAACGCACGAAAATCGAAATAATGAATCGGGAAAATAAAAATATTTTTAGGCTACGGTAGTTGTCGTTGGCGGACCTTCTGCCACGGCGTATCGCGTTTCTCTTCCACAGCTCCGTTTTTTTGTACCGGAATGATATTGGATTTATTTATGCGTGGTTTTGTACCAGAAGAAGACATCGAAAGGAGTCTGAATTCAACTTACCATAAATAAAAGAATCAAAGTGGCAACAGCCAGTGCGGCTAAAATAATTGCAACAAGCACAAAATCAATGATGCTTTCAGCCATTCTATAGATCGGTTATCGGCAAAAAGGGAAAGAGGAAAAGAGTTTTCTTTGTAAAACGTTTCGTTTTATACAGCACCGGTGCGAATTCAAATTTTCACACCGAAATGCGTCAATCGGTGAGAATAGGTGATGGTTTGCCTATTGAAATGAAATCAGTGTTTTTTCCGGAATATGGGAAAACGTGTTGAGAGAAAAAAATCGAGATGAACCTCTGTTTGTCTGTGCTAGGATTTGCATAAATTTGATAGAGTTTTGCCTCGCGGCGACCGTTTCATGGGTCAAATGATCCCGATCATTCCTGGGAATGACCGGAAAGAACGCCAAAGTAGTACGTCATCAATCAATATTTTCATTTTTTTCAAGTGAGAGAAAAGCAAGTGATCTTGTTATAATCCATGGAAAAGAAAAAAGTACAATTGAAATTTAGCATATGAGTAAGACTGTATACAAACACATACATGAAAAAAAGCTCGATTCACAGTTTTTACAATAGCGATTTAGAAAAAATAATCGGTTCTTCAAAATCGAGAATTGCACATCTACTTAGCCAAATAAATAGTCAAACCAATGATGAAAATGAGGATAATGAAGAAACAAAGAAGGAGAAGCTTCTTTTGGCGTGCTTTCTGATTGTAGTAGACAGCTTGCTGCACATTTTGAGCACCCTGTTCCACATAAATTTGAGCATGTTCAACGTTGGCCTCAATAGAATCCACCATGTCTCCTTGCTCATGAACGATGTTTGCCAGCTCCGCGAAAATCTGAAAAAATACAAGTTCGTATTGATATAAAAGATGAGGCTTACCGCATTCACATCTCCAATATCTCTCTCCAACTGTTGCAATGCATTCTGCCGTTCTTTGATATCAGCCAGATTTCCCTTTTGCTGAGCAGTCATCTGCATTTGTCCCTGTCTTCCCTGTTGCCCGTACATTTCACTTTCAGCCGCCGCTTGTGCATCCATTTCTGCTGCCACCATTCCAGCCTTTTCAGTTTGGGCTGCTCTACGTTGCGAAGCTTGAAGACGGTTGAGGACTCCAATGTATTCATTTTGAAGACGTTCTCGAACACCGCGAAGATTTTTCTGAAAATGGGTAGAACTCACAATCAACCCAGAAAAGAAGGATAGCATACGTCGGAATTGCTCATCACGACCAACTTCTTGAGTAGAGCATTTGTTTCTTTTGAAAGTTCTTGAGCATCGTGAGCCTTCTAAAATTCAGAAGTCAAAAGTCAAGTATGCAGCTGAAAACTAACCCGATTGAACAGTTCTCGCTCTCTTTGTCCAGCTGCACTGCTGTCGGATAGATTAGTGATGAATGATTCTAATTGGATTACTGTAAAAAATATTCTAACAATTCAGACCGAGAAAATATAAAAATCGAACCTTGCTGATTCAAATTTTGAATGTTGAGTTGAAGCTGACTAACTGTTTCGTTTCCTGCATCTCGATTGAAATCCATTCTGGCTTTAAGATAAGCCTCGAACTGAAATTTTCAGACTGTGAAGGAAATCAATAAATACTGGACTACGAAAGAACACACACACGCTCAATGTGGTCAGTAGAAAAACTTAGATACATAATAGGCTAGACAGCAAGCAAATACGCTCCACAGCAGAGAAAAAAGAAAAAAAACAGGGGTTCGTGATCAACCTTCTTTTCTGTGAATAGCGCATTCAAACTCGTGGAAAATAACTCAAAACGCTTATTCTGAATCAGAAAGATTGCATTAATATTTACAAGGCAAAAAAAAAGATTCAATAAAAATCTAGTTTAGAGAAGTTTGCCCTGTATAAACGATTGCTTGTGTAATAAGAGACTTGCTGATGTTTTGAATGACAAAATGAATGTATACAAAGTACGAGCAATCTATGGAGGCTGAATCATCAAAAAGAAATGACACTCATCCCACACATATTTAAATATTTTAGACCATCAAAATTCTCCGAAAACAGAAATACTCCTTACTTCCGAATCGAACGGCATTTAAGAACTACAACAAACAGCAACGAAATGGATCAGATTCATTTCAAGAGGTAACATAAAAGAGGACGATCAACGTGTGGCTAGAGAGCGAAGAGGATACATAGAAACAGACAAAAAAAACGTGTTTTCAGAGAACAACAAAACGGATAAAAGAAATTAAGATCAGAACAACGAGAAGCGACCAGAACTCTCGGAAAACGTGATTAAAAAGTTAAAAATAAGTGAAATTGTCAATTGAACGATTTGATAACATTAAATTAGAAGAAAAAAAAGTAAAAATAGCACAGAATTATTGAGTATCGCCTCTTCGAAGCATAATGAATACGAGATACAAGCATGGAAAGAAATAATTTGAAAATGCAATAGGGAATAGCACAGATAATTTATTCGAAATAATCAATCCATCTCGTTGTCCTTTTCATCGGCAGCATCGCTTATCTGACGTTCGATCAGAGCAGCCATGTCTTCAAACTCATCATCGTCATCTGAATCTGGAAGGTCTTCATCTTCTTCGTTGTCATCATCTTCCATGTTTGTTGGAGCGACATGACCCTTCTGTAAAAAACATGATTCAAAAATTTGTGTACTATCGTTCGCTTGTGATCTTTATCAAATTTTGAACCAGCATCGGACTGGGTTTTTTATCAGAATTATCAAGACCCCATTGTCGTTAATTTTTTTTTAAAGGTCGAAAAAATCAGTGAAATTTCAGAATGTTTTACTATTGTGAAAAAGCTTGCGGCCTGAAAATATTAGCCTAGATTTTTTAAAAATATGCTTTAAACTCCTCACCTCATCATCCACGTCATAAACTTCATCTTCATCGGTTTCAGGAACGATCCTTCCTTCTTTACGAGATCTGGATAGAAGAGCCTTGTATGACATTGGAGCCTCATCGTCTTCCTCTTCCGAATCCGACTCCTGTCATGGTTGAAATATTAATTTGTGATAATGAAAACAACATTCTTACCTCTTCCCCATCATCCATTTCTGGGCAATATTTTCTTTTCTGTCCCCTGTTGTCTTTTTCCTTCATTTCTTCCTTCTTCTCTTTTTCATCCGTTTTCTCTATCTTTCTTTCAATTTCTTCCTTTTTCTCCTCGCTTCCTTTTTCCTGTTTCATTTCATCCTCATCTTGACGTTCTGGCTCATCAGAATCATCATCATCTCCCTCACCTTCGTCTTCATCAGACAGAGCTTCGTCAACTTCATTATTCATATCCGCCAATGCAGCCTTTCCGATTGTATCCATATTAGACAGATCACTGACATACTTGGATCCAAGTGGACGTCCAACTGGTGGAGTACTTTCTTTCGTCAATTCGAACTGCTTCTCATCCGCTTTCATCCACTTTTCAACACAAGCATATACCCACTGCACAGTAACGACAAACTTCCCGAGACGATGAGCTTGATGGATTTTTCTGAAATTTTAGGTAAAATATGCATTTTGAGCAAAAACATACTGTGTTCCGTATCGAGCACCAACGACATGTGTGACTTCATCGGTAACCTCTGGAACGATGGTGGCTCCAAACTGCATGCACAGACGGTATATGTCGGTTCGTTCAAGCTTCTCACCAGTTGGAACAATTCCTGAGAACACGATAACACAACCATCGAGAACTTTATGTCGTTCATCCTTGATAACTTCCTAAAAATGCGCATTGTGAATATGACATTATTGATTTCATTTATTTTTCGTACCTTCACATCAAGCAATGGTTGCTCCGCATCTCTCAAATCGTGTTTCTCATAATACTTATCATGAATATTGGTCAGTACTCTTTCAATTTCTTCGAGAACTCGATCCTCATGAGCGTCGTCTTCAATTTGAACCGGCATTTGCTCTTTCGAATTTTTTGGTGCATTGATATCTCCAACTTCTTTGAAGAAACGATACGGCTTGATTTGAATTAGAGCTTCAGAATACTGCCAAACGTCAGCGCGATCATCAATAATGACAACAAGATTGTCACCACATGGAAAAAGTGCCTGAAACAGGATCTTAATTGATTATCTCGATTGATTTGTTACTTTTAAGTTTCTAGTCTTATGTTGAGCTGAGAACAATTCATCTCGGGAAAGAATTCGCTGACCAAAAAGACGAGCATCTGGATCTAGGATTTGAGCAATCCTATGAGCATACTGACGCTGTCCGTATGTCACAATATGCATCTCGTACATCGCTGACATTTTGTTCAAAAACTCGGTGGTATGTGGACGCAGCTTCGTGGTGTAGACACGCGAGTGCAGATTGTATTTGGTGATATCCTTGTGCTGGAAATTTAGGTTGTTGTCTTGTGGTTTCTACCCGATTGCGTCTACCTTCTCGGCGTCTACAGACATTGGTTTATCTGATGTGTGAATGATTGTTTGATCGAGATCAACGAGGAGAACTAACTTTCTGGTGGTGATCAAATTTGTCTCGTCTGCCGAACCAATTTCCTTGGCTAGCTGAAATTTAAAAGCATTGAGACACAACCTTCCTGATCTAGACTTACAGAATCCGACACAATCAACTCCGGAACGTGATGAATCATAGACACATTCGCGGTTGCTTGCTCTTTTCGTTGCCCAGCTCTTCCTCCTTTCTCGCGCAAATCTTTTCCACAATCTCCGCACATATCTTTGATCACAATATCATGACGACATTCAGCCATTACAGCAATCACTTGCCCCTAAAAAAGTGAAAATTATCAAAAGATTAAATTCAGCAAATTACGAAGAGAACTTTGCCAAACCGCATGGAGTTCTATGTTTCGAAAAGGGTATTCTGGAGCAGGGATTTTCAGAAATTTGAAAATTTCGAGTTTCAAATTTTCACAAATTTCGGAGTTTTCGGATTATTCCGGTTTTCAAAACTTGCGTCCCATCACAAAAAAGCGAAAAATTAAAAGACTTCGAAAAGCAAAAAATGTTAAAGTAATTCCGCTCGAGACCTGCAAGAGAACTCTTTGCGTGCGCCTATACCGTATTCAAAGAGAGAAAAAGAGACTCCACCGATTCCGAGGCGCGAAATGAGAAATAGCGGCAGAAGCAAAGATGTGAAAGCGACATCATCGTCGTCGTCGTCGCATCGTAGAGTTCGCGACGAAGGACGGCGCAAAGACAGAAACAGAGACGATGAGAAGAAGTATGATCGCGAATCAAATGATGATAGAGAATGGTACGTTTTCGGCAGTCTGCAGTTACCATTTGTATTTTTTCTAATAGTTAGAGTTTGATCTATTCACTAAAAATGCATTTTAAAACTCATTTTTCTT